AGAAATACTCACACGGTTGAGGGTTTGGGGTTTGGCTGCACCAAAGTTTGATGTCATTGGAAGAATAACCATAAACTAAAAAGGAAAACAGCAAGGGAACGAATATTAAAAGTGTTGTGATTAAGCGAACAGCTTCCATTGGGCTTGCTATGGCCACTGGAAAATAAAATTTTGGATGACAGCAAATGGATGATGAATATGGTGTATGACATTAAGTTTGAGCTAGATTCAATTGTGTTGGATTTGGATGGTGTTTAGGGTCCTAATTTTGGTGCCTATATATAGAGGATAACGAGAAGTTGATGTCTTGAATTAATATGGAATTATGGATGCTAGTTAGGGCCTTGGAGACTTCCCTCTACTTTCCAAGTCCTTTTCGTTTTTGTTTTGGTTGCATATTCTTTCATCAATGTACAATATTAGAATAGCAAATTTGTTATTTGTTTATAATTTGCACATACACTATTTTGCGTTCACCACACATGCAACTTTCTCGCAACTATGTTTGCAACCTTTCAAAAGTAAAAACGTGTCAACTAATCCGGTAGTTTGATGGAGGCTAATTGTATTTGATTAGTTTAATTTGTCAACTTTGACATTATTAGATGAATAAGAATCTTATTCTAGCTAAAGATTAATGCTCGAAATACGAACTGATATATATACATGATGATTAAATGAAAGATGTTTATCAATGTAGTATTAAAAACGTACATGATCCCAATATGTTGGACGAAAGAAAATAAAATGTCATTTTCTGTTTCAACCATTGATTTCTGCCCATACAAAATGAAGAAGACCGGTAATAATACTTTTTTTTTACACAATCTTTATTTTATATTCTTAATTATTGATTAAAATATACTTAAAAATTATAAAATTATGAATAAAATTTATTAAATTAGGTGTAAAATCATATAATTTTATATTTTTTAATAAATTTAGTTGATAATAAAGAATGTATTTAAAATAATATTAAATAATATGTAGCTAATATTTCTAAAAAATAAAATACATAAAAATGTAGAAGCACTAAATTTTGTAGTCTATCTAAACATTGTTGAATTAAACTTAAAATTTATAAATGATCAAGATGTTATATTTAATTGAAACATAATAATTTATTTGCAATATGATTTTAATAACAAAATAAGTTAAAGGACACCAAGAGTAAAAAAATAATATCACTGACAAATAATTAAATAATATATATAAACCTAATTTTAAGAGATATGTTTTTTTTTTTGTTGCAAATTATGCTCACATTATTTAATTAATTGATAATAAATTTATCTTTTAATTATTTGTGACCTATAACTTATTTTCATTAATATAAACTATATTATAAATAAATTGTTATATATCAATCTGATAGTAGTTATCATCTTGCGATTAAATATCTTACTTATTTAATAATCTTAAGATTAATTTAATAGTGTTTGATCATGATCCAGAATTATATAATTTATATAGTTGTTCCCTGTGACAGGGAAAAAAACGTAAAGTGAAAAGAAGTTTATAAAGGGAAGAAATTATTAATATTTTGAGTTTAAGGATTCAAATACAGCGGCCAAAGAATTTGATGGCTTTTAAAATCAGTGCCATTTGTTCAATCACTGAATCAAACAAAGGTTATTAGAGACATTAACTGACCTGAGACCTCCCATGCATCCACGTGGAATGAAAGTATTGGACAAATCTATTGGCTTTGCACGTTTTGGAACTGTGAAACGCACACCACAAAACGGATGAATCTATTGACGCTTTTTTGACTCAACATATTATCCAATAAATAATAAAAAATCGAACATTACACCCCAAAAGGAACCAGCTTTATTACAATTGATTCTGCTCATAATATGCTCAGCTGCAAACTATTCTGCAGATTAATGCATTGCCATATACACCATATCACATAATTGTTTGCCATGGTCACAGTTAGGCCTTGTGAAAAAAAATTAAGTTTATCATTTTTTTCTCAATTCTTTCTTCTCCAATGGGCATATACATCATATAAAGTGTTAAATATCGTATATCTATATTCAAAAAATGTTCTGGTTGGCTAAACTATCATAAACCAATAGTTAAATCTCGCGATATAATGGAAGAAATTATCAATAAAGAATTTGAAGGCTTATATTAACAAATAATATGCTTTAGTTATTAATATTTTATCTTAATAAACTTATTTATTATTATAATATATATAAACTTAAAGTATTTATGCCAACAATTTAATTTTTGATAAAAAATATTTATACTAATAAAAGTTAATCTAACATTGAATTGTTAATAATGATACTTTTTATGACAGGTAAGAAATTAATTATATATCTGATCCATATAATCAAATATGAGTGGTTAAAAAATAAAAATAAATAATAAATAATCATTTAAGAAAATGTTAATATTAGTTTTAAAGGCTGTGTTTAAATATCTCTTAATACTAAAATTTTATTAATAGACAAGTATTTATTAAGCTATATTTTTAATATAATAAATGTGTTTCTTTTTACGTGATGAATATTTAAAACTATTATGTAGAATCACTATTTTTAAATGTATAACCTTAAAGTCATCCATTTTTATAATCACATTTTATTAATTTATTTCTTGACTTTAATGAAAGTCATTCATCTACGCGCTGGGAGATATTTGTGAAGATCAATAATACGATCTTTATATAAAATTGAGTTAGTTAAAATTGAGGTTGTAATGCGTAATCAAACATCAGACCTCAAAGATAATTATTAATTCCAAAAAGCGCCGTTGGGTAAAGTCTGCTTGGTCAACCATGATGCCACATATTGACAGTTTTGTTGAAATTTGAAAGAGAAAGGCCAATTCATCGGTTTCACATTTTAGATAGATAAATTTTTTTTCTAATTATTATTATATTTTAGATAGATGAAAATTAAAGAATATTAATATTTTTTAATTAAATTATTAATTTTATTATTTATTAATATAAAATTAACTAATGATAATTTTACAAAGATACCAAACTCTTTCAAATAGAGAGGATACAATATATTTTACTTAAATTTCACCAAAAAAAAAAAAAGATATCATTTAAAATATCGTAACCTAAACAAAATCAATTTACTCGATTCAAATCTATAAATAAAAAACAAAATAAACCTTTTAATATAGAAAACACAAATTAAAAAAAAAAAAAACGTTTCTGTAGTACAGCCAATTTTTGGAGTTTTTTCCTTCTCCTTTATTTTTACAATAACATGTAAAATTAAATTAAACATATAAAATATGTTAAATATATTTTAAAAATATAATAGAAAATATTGTTACAAATTAAAATCTAGAAAATATAACATAAAAATATACTTGTAATAAAAAATTATCTATAAATTGATATAAATGATCAAGGAAAAGTATAAGAGTAAAATTATAACATAATTAATAATAAACTTATTGTGATTTAAACTTTTCTCATAGACAAAGTTTATTTAAAAAGATTACCGTATACATCAAAGGTATAGTTATAGAAATAAAAATATAATTTTATAATAAAATAAAATTTTTATTATATTTAAAACAAGATTTATTTAATATTAATTTAAATAATTAAGAAAAATTAAAAATGTATTTATTATCACTTAACTTATAAATCAAAATATTTTCCTGTGTCTTAAGTAATAATACTGTCTAGTTCTATTTGGAAAAAGAAAATATTGTAACATTATAAGAGTACACTTTGGTAGGTGTTCTTGACCATTTTGGGACTATAGACGAAATAAGAAATTAGAGATTTTTAAAAAAAGTTATAAAATATAATAAACAAAATAAAAATATATATTAATAATTTTATTAAAATAATATATTTTTTTTAAGTGACTATAATTTTTTTAATAAAATTATAAAAAAAAAAATTCTTTCATTCAAATAAACTCGACTCGTATGTTATAATCAACTACAAAAACATAAAATTATAAAAAATATATTTTATGAGTATTTTAAGATACAAAATCATTAATGATAAAATTAACATTAATATTTTTTAAAAATTCTTTATCGATTGATAAAATTATAAGACTATTCAATTGTTTTTGTGAAATTGATGACCTTAAGTAGGTTTTGATTAACTTTAATTCTAAAAAACTTTTTTCCGTTGATGATATAGTCACTGACACCGTAAATTAAATTTTATAAGTGATTGAAACATTTAGATAATAATTTATAAATTTGACAAACTTAATAACTGTTTAATTTTTTTGAAGAAAGCTAAAATTTTTCATGAGCTTTAATGTTAAGAATAGTAAAATTTTATAATTAAATGAAGTTTTAAGTTTATAGAAATTAAGAAGTCAACTATGTTTATAACAAGTGAAGTGCGAAGAATTAAAAGATCTTTTTTGTTTTTTTTTTAACTGCAAATGGCAAGAGCTGAAATTTTTTTCAAATGAAAGTAGAACACGATTTTTACTTTGGACACTCTTTTAAGCTTAGATTCTAGGCGATCACACTTCTAAACTACCCTCAGGATCGAGCTTGCTCCTTGGTCGACATGGATTGGAATACTCTTATAATCTATAATTAATTTTTTTTCTTATTTTAAAAAATTGTGTATCATGGAAAATGTCCCCATAAATAACAACAAACCAGTATGATATCAATTCTATTTGGCCACCACACTACTATTTTTTCATTATTAAAAGAGTACAAGCAATGTACTCTACCTCGTATATGTAGATAAAATTAAAAACTCTAACTCGTACATAACAAAACAATTTACTATTAAACTAACAAATTAAAGCTTTTTCATACATCGAAAACGAATTAAATATCAATATGAATACAAACAATTCCCTCCCCTAACTCAAACAAAACCAAAACTAAGATCTATCCTTAATGAGAACCGTAATACGGTACTAATGATCTATTTTCCTTGATCCCACTAGTACAACATTATTGATAATTGACTTTCACATAATAAAAAAACAATTCAGTAATGGTACAACATATATAGCAAAATAATTAATTTATAAACCAGGGGTGAATGGAACTCCAGTTGCTGGCAACCATGAACTTCCTCCTATGAAATTTGCAACTGTGAATTTTGATGCCTCGGAAGCACTAGTGATAACATGATAACCACCCCAATTAACCCGATCTGCAGTGGATGAACCAGGACCTGTGTTCATGTACTCGCCATAATACAAAGTACTTAATGCAAAATTACCACTCCATTCTAACCAACCACTTGGATCAATCAAACTATCAAGATAAGTTTCAATGAAAACTGTTCTAGAATATTGTTGCCATGGTCTTCCAAGATAGGTCTTAACAGAACTTTGAGCTGTTTGCAAATCTGAGGCTGCTGTAACCTTTGAATTGTGAATGGAAATTCCAGTGTTTTGGTTTGGATCAGTTCTGCCTTGGGCAGTTATAGTGTTGATTTTGTTTGGAGGGTTTCTTGCAAAAAGGTTACAATTTTGGAACACCACAGCAGCATTACCAAAGATGAAGTCAACTGTGCCATAGATGTCACACTCCCTATAGAATTGTCGCTCAGTGTACACATAGAGTGTGTCTTGGTATCCTTCGAAACCACATCTGTAAAACACTGATAAATCTGATCCTGAGCGTAGTGCTACGGCTTGGTGATTTGATGCACCTGCACTGTTCCTAAATGTGATATCTCTACCAATAAACCCATCCCCATCAATAGCTGAAAAATCATATGTGTAAACACAATTGGTTAGTTCTCGACATTTAATTTTGTTTCATTTTAATAAAATTTTAAGAGATAAAATAGATAAAATGAATTATTAATCATGCTATGTAGTACAAAAAGAATACTAGCCACACATTCATTCTTTTAATTTATTATTCAACACAATTCTAGTAATGACTAGTTTTCTAAAGTGTCAAAATAAATTTTAAAAAGTTATGAATTTATAAAATATTTTAAATTTTAAAAAATTGATAAAAAAAAAGTCAAAAAGTGTATTTAAAATAATATATTGTTAATATTTTTCGCAGTAGTAATGACTTTTTTCATTGATGGTGTAACAAGTGACCCTTCTAAACTAAATGTGGAAATGAGCGGATATATAATTGCAAAGAAAAATTATTGATTTAAGAAAAAAGTTATTAAATAATTCACATTATTGTGTCTTGAAAAAATATTCGTACAAATTAGTATTTTAAAAATATAAAGAATAAATATAAGAGAAAGTAGCTATGATAAAAATATAGAAGTCGTTGTCTATGCTGTTGAAAAATTGATTTTCTTACCAACAGTGGCAGAACGGAAGGTTGTGGAGCCTCCTCCAACACTACTACTACCAGTAATAATAGTCTTCCCAATACCATCTCCCATCAACATGATGTTGTTAGACTTTATCTCAACTTGTTCATTGTATTCCCCAGCCTTCACGTATATCACATATCTTCCACTATTGCTTTTTGGTGCAGCATTTATGGCAGCATTTATTGTTGTGAAATGGCCAGACCCATCTTTAGCCACCACCGCATTTGCCTGAGAAGATGGAGAAGAAGTTTGCAACAATTTACGGTCACCTGGTTTAACCCATGTTGGGAACCCATCTTTGTATGTTTTTGGTTCTTGGTATTCAACCTTGTTAAGAGCCAAAACATTGCTTAGCAACATAGTAACGTTGTTAGACATCATCAGGGGCAACACATAGTCTTGAACCCCAAGTTCATAAAACCCGGTTTTGCATGCCTCAAGGTTGGTGAGAGCAGCACTGAGCCATGTTTGAGAATCAGTTTGGGAGCACCTGGTGTTAGGGTCTAAGGTTTTATTGAGCCTATGAATGGTGTGCTCATACATTTGAAGGCAATCAACCCATGCAGCTTTTTCACGTGGGTTCCGGCACTTTGGGCCTAGTGAAAGTGCATTTGCATGGCTCATCATAGCTCTCTCTTGGGCCAGTTGAAGAGAGAGGTTAGTGAAATCAGCTTTTTGTTTGATTTGTTTGTGCATGTGAGCAAGGTTGTTGATCAAGAAATACTCACATGGCTGAGGGTTAGGCGTTTGGCTGCACGACAATTTGATGTCATTTGAGGAATAACAAGAAACGAAAGGGAAATACAAGAAGGGAACAATTAGAAGAGAAAGTAGTAAGAGAAGCGATGCCATAGTACTTTGCTTTCTATAGCCTTAGGACGATTTTATATATTTTCTAGTTAAGAGTGGTGATTTAAGGGTTTGAGGTCGTTGTGTTTATATAGATGATGTGTTGAGAGGTAGTTGTTGAGTATGAGGACAAAAGTCAAGAGTGTTGGGGTAGTTTATCGAATTCATTTTTGTTTTTGTTTTTGTTTTTGCTTTTGTCTATTTGGACATTATTTTAAACAATAGTTGAATGGTGGGGCTAAAGTATCGAAATGATGTTTATAATATAGGAAATATTTATTAGTTAAATAACATTAAAGGGAGTACATACAAGGATATTCAACCCTTACACACAAAGTTCAGGAGGGAGATTCAATAATTAAGGACATAGGTTAGTAGTACATAAGACTAATACCAATTAAAGAATGATAACAATTTGCCCATATATAGGAACAGGAATATTTTTATTCTCTTTGACTTTCGTAATGCATGTCTATTGAACGAAAAATGTAATATATTTAATATATTATAAATTTAAAAATTCATGTTTAAATAATTAAAAGCATTTAATATAAACTCAAAAAACACATATTTATGCAATCCATAGTAAAAACCCTACTTTTTTTCAATGAAAACTATCAAATTTATATTTCAAAAAATTAAAAGCAAGTAAGGATTTTATTTCTTGCAATAGAAGATATTGAATAAAGTATTCTAGAACTTAGTATAAATTGATAATTTAATATGGCCTTTTATTTCGATCAAAATCGATGTCTTGGAAAAACATTATAAGTAGAAACAAGTGACCTATATTTCTATTGGTCTAGTGCAACCGTTGATTAGTTAACAGTTGGAATCAAACTGATATACATATATATATATATATATATATATATATATATATGCATGCATGTCTGCTAGCAGAAACAGTTAGTCAATTTCGGAGTTTTGGGCATATATTCTTTTATCATGCAAAGCCAAAGGAAAAAAAAAAAAGAAACTGTTAGTGGAATATCAGAAAGAAAATTCTCAGAAGCACGAAATGTAGAATCATAGTTCCAAGTATGCAAATGGAAAATTAGGAAGAGTAAGTATAAGCGTGCCGTGATTCTGATAAACGTCTCAAACGTCAACTCAATTCTGAGACATAGAATTGAGAAAGGAGTCTCAATCCATGCAGGACATATGGGTCCCTTCCGCTTCACATTTACTAAGTTCGCCGCAAATCCCGAAATTTCAAATGAGAGAAATAAATATAATTTAATATATTTCATTTACCATAAATCTCAGTTATTTATTAGCTGTATTTTTATAAATTAAATTTTCTAAACCAGCTAATTAATTAGTACCTTTGTTATTAATTATTTGACGAGTCCAATCTCCTTCAACTTCATATTTAATCTTTTTATCTGTGAATATAATTACGATTGTAATATGTTAATATCTTTTGAACAGTTCTATTTAGTACAAAAATTAAATACGAATGCATACGATTTTATGCGGAGAGTTTGTTATTGATTGGTTTAATAATGAATTAAATAACCACAAAAATTAAGAAATAAAACGAAACATAACCACATCATTTGTACACCAAGTTTGTAAAATAAATAAATCATACTGCCTAGCAATTTCATTATTTTTGTTAATTCTTTTTATATGCACCGCATGACAAAAAAAATAAACCGCTTTGTTAATAATCATTATTTAATTAAATTTAAATACAACGTATTTCCGTTGAAACATTTTAAAGTAATAAATAATTTTAATGGAATCCGTTAATTTAATATTGAACCACATATCCCTCGAAAATTAGCATTTTCTAAATATAAGAATTCAACGATGATATACGGAAAAACATTTATATACATTTTATTATTTGATTATAATTAAATTCATTTTATTTTCATGTAGTTATATCTAATTAAGTTATTTAAGCACGTGTGAGAAATGTAATACTACTGTAATATATGTCATCGAAACTTCATATCACACACAATTTCCAGAGTAGTTCTATATATACACATTACTGGTTCTGATTTCTCTTGTTGGAAGAAAAATGAATGGTGGAAAAAAAAAATTTAGAATTTTAAGAAACACGCATTTGAATGCTAGCAAGGGCATAGCAACGTCAATTTATAATTAACATCAGTTTAAATTTAGATTTTAATGTTTGAGTGAATTTAGTTAAAACTAATTACTATAATGTGTGTATTTTGATGAGTAAATTATATGCATAATAGTGTGAAAATAACATAATTTCTGTGAAAGTTCACATTTTCAAAGTGATTTATTTGACACTTTCAAAACTCTCAAACCAGCAGAACAACACGAGCCCATAGCCGTCAAATACCTTTTTCTCAAGTCATGAATCTTTACGTTACGTAGTTCTTTTTAACAGCTTTTTCATGACATGCATGTATAATGTTAGAATTATGTCAGATCAGCTCGAGCTTCTGAGAAAATTCTTTTGAGCAATACTATAAAAGATCTTATTCATGACTTTTTTAATTTATTGAAAAATTATTAATAATGAATAAACGATATTCTCGGGTGCAGAAAAATATATATTTTGAAATCATTATTAATTAAAAACTTGCATGCGTGCACTTCCTTGCTGCAACAATAATCACTGTCGCATGTTTTAAATTAATGATTTAATATGCTTTTAGTATAGTAAAATATAAATCACCCAGTCGTCAATTTAAGAATTTCAACCTGTGTATGTTCTACTCTTCAACGTTGACATGCAAATCCAATACAATTAGCTAACGGCGAGCGTTTCATTTGGCTGCTTAATTATGCCACGTGTCAAGTCAATCGACGCCATGCTCAATTCAAAGATATGTCCAGTCATAATCCGAACAACTTACACGTGGATTAATTACAGATAAAACTAAAAAGTAAATATTTAACAAATTCGATATATCAATAGACGCCATGCTTAATTTTATATAGATTATTCTTTGGCTGGGGAAACTCTGTTAATTTGCGGAATCAAATTCGATAAATTAGGTCTAATACGTCAGGTTTCAACAAAAATATCAACACATGACAACATAGTCAAGCAAGCCTAGGTTTAATTACCCTACGTTATTGTCTTGACCATGACATGACACCTGAGTCAATGTTTTCCTAGGACATCCCAGGGTCAATTGCGGCTGAACGTGAATACTGGAACATTAATCGGATAAAGCTTAATTGGGTTTTGTTATTTTATTTTTTAATATTTGTATAATTTATTATTTGTAAATTTTGATTAATTATTTTTTTGTGACAAATAATTTTTTATAGATATTTAACACAATATTTAAGGTATGAAAGAAACGGATACCAAATAAATTAACACAGTACCCCGATGCTTTACTTTTTTTTTTTTTAATTAATCTTTTTTTAATGGTTCTTTGCAATTAATCTTTGATAATCCAGAGCGATTGAGAACAGACAAGCAGTATTTATGACTTATGCGTTTTGAAATGCCAGACTCCAACTTGACAGTCATATCCTTTTCCAATTCCAAACACGACAACAAATTGTCCAATGTTTTATTCTATATGCATAGAATTCTGCAGAGGCCACTTGGTGTCGCTAAAAACTTTAAGTTGAATAATTATGAACAACTGGCATCGGATTTAGAAGTCATAAACTCCTTAGGCTGCTTTATTTGAATCATGTAGTACTAATTATCCTTCTTTGATAAATGCCAGGAAATTTTGTAGGATAATTACGTGCAACATTTTCTGTCCTACATATATATTTTTCTAATAATTTATATCTCAACTGTTAGTTTTAATTTTATATTTTAAAAGTTTGATTTTGATCCTTATAATTTTATAAATATAAGTTTTAATATTTATAATATTAGCCCATTTTAGTTTTAATTTTATAATGTTATCTGTTTGATTAAATGTTGATTTTTTGGTTTATGATCCTGACGATATTATAAAAAAAAAACTAAATATTCATTAAAATTAAATAATGATCCTACTTATATCATAAATTTATATTATATAACTTATATATTAAATGATCAGTTAGTAATTATATATTAAATAACTAATTATATTTATTTATATGAATAATGAAAGTATTTTATTAATACAAATTTCACAATAAATAAAAATATAATATAAATAATATATAGATAACATATTCACTTATACTAGTAAAAAATATTTAGTGTTGAAATAATCAAGCTTAATTATTAAAGCAAGCCTATAAAAAATCGTTGTAATTGATCACAATTCATACATAATTCTTTCAACCCATGTGCTATTATTGGCAAACAAATAAATGGCAAGTAGTAAATATGGTTTGTTAATTTGTACTCCGTGGTGCAACCTTTGTCACGGAATACAAAAATTCGTTGCGATTGATCACAAATTATACGTAACACATTCATCTCATCTGCTATAATTGCCAAACAAGTAAATGGCAAGTAGTCTTGATATGTAGTTTGTTCCAACCTTTGTTCATAAAAAATGAGAACGTTTTCCTTTTTAAAAAAGTATGTTAAAGGAACCGTAGAACTCGTGAGTTCTGTATATTACACAAACAAATTAATCATATCACTAAAAGCGTTTTCAACCTTTCAATATATGCATGTTATTGCAAAAAGGGTAACACTTTCGAAAGTACACTTTTTTTAATGGTCAAATATTTATTAAAATAGCGCATGGTGATGGTCAAAAACATAAGCCCAAATTTTGAACAAGCTATACAGAACTGTCTTGTATTGAAATAATATACACTCATAAAGAAAAACGAAAAAGACTTGGAAAAGTAGAAAGTTTTGTGTGCTCCCGCCGAAAATATATTATCCATATAATTTTAACAACCATGTCTCGCCATCCTCTATAAATAAGCACAAAATTAAGACATGAAACATCATCGATCCAAACTAGTTCAAACAATTTTCTCTCTGATTTACTCCATTTTCTGTTAACGAAAATTATCCATAGCTCGAAGAAATTAATCAAACTATGGAAACTTTTCAGTTATTCACAACACTTTTATTCGTCCCCTTGCTGTTTTCCTCTGTAGTTTATGGTTATTCATCGAATGACATCAAACTTTGGTGCAGCCAAACCCCAAACCCTCAACCGTGTGAGAATTTCTTGAGCAATAACCCCACTCACCAATACAAACCCATCAAGCAAAAATCAGATTTTTTCAAACTTTCATTGCAACTTGCACAAGAGAGAACACTCAAAGGCCATGCAAACACTCTCTCACTTGGCTCAAAATGCCGCAACCCACGTGAAACAGCTGCATGGGCTGATTGCGTTGAGCTTTATGAACAAACTATTCTTAAGCTCAACCAAACCATAGACCCTAACACAAAGTGTTCCCAAGTAGATACCCAAACATGGCTTAGCACAGCTCTCACTAACCTTGAGACATGCAAAGCTGGGTTCTACGAACTTGGGGTTCAAGACTATGTGTTGCCTTTAATGTCCAACAACGTTACCAAGTTGCTAAGCAACACCTTGGCTCTTAACAAGGTTCAATACGAAGAACCAATTTACAAAGATGGTTTCCCAACATGGGTGAAGCCAGGTGATAGAAAGCTGTTGCAAGCTGCTTCTCCAGCTTCTAAAGCAAACGTAGTTGTGGCTAAAGATGGGTCTGGAAAGTACACAACTGTCAGTGCAGCCGTGAATGCTGCTCCAAAGAGTAGTAGTGGAAGGTATGTGATATACGTGAAGGCAGGGATATACAATGAACAAGTTGAGATAAAGGCACATAATATAATGTTGGTTGGTGATGGTATGGGCAAAACAATCATCACAGGTAGCAAAAGTGTTGGAGGAGGCACCACAACCTTCCGTTCAGCCACTGTTGGTAAGCCAAAAATTTATCTTAGTAAATACTAATTCATCGTCTTTTTCAACCATGTAATTGGTAAAAAAATAAACATATTTGTTAACCGATTATTTTAAGTCACGAAAGCAACTAATAAAAAAAAAATATTTACTATGTTAGAGATACAAAATTATGATCAATACATTATTTTAATAAAATCATATTATTATTAGTTATTTGAACTCAATTAGAAAAATTGAAAAATAAATTAAAAGAAATATTCAAAGATTAATACTTAACTAGTATACATGAATTGTTGCAGCTGTTGTTGGAGATGGATTCATTGCTCAAGATATCACGTTTAGGAACACTGCAGGTGCAGCAAACCACCAAGCTGTTGCATTGCGTTCTGGTTCAGACTTATCAGTATTTTACAGATGTAGTATTGAAGGTTATCAAGACACGCTGTATGTGCACTCTGAGAGGCAATTTTATAGAGAATGTGACGTTTATGGCACTGTTGACTTCATCTTTGGTAATGCTGCTGTTGTGTTCCAAAATTGTAATCTCTTTGCAAGAAATCCTCCAAACAAAGTAAACACAATCACTGCCCAAGGAAGAACCGATCCAAACCAAAACACAGGTATTTCTATTCACAATTCAAAGGTCATTGCTGCTTCAGACTTGAAACCAGTTCAAATCTCAGTTAAGACATACCTTGGAAGGCCATGGCAACAATATTCAAGAACAGTTTTCATGAAGACTTATCTTGATAGTTTAATCAATCCAATAGGTTGGTTAGAATGGAGTGGTAATTTTGCTTTAAGTACTTTGTACTATGGAGAATACATGAACACAGGACCAGGTGCTTCAACTGCAAACCGAGTTAAATGGTCAGGTTATCATGTCATTACAAGTGCTTCTGAAGCTTCAAAATTCACAGTTGGGAATTTTATTGGTGGCAACTCATGGTTACCTTCTACAAGTGTTCCTTTCACCTCTAGTCTTTAAATTTAATCATTTGTTGGTGGATTTATTAATTTCTTATTCTTTTATTTTCACCACTTCAATATAAGTTTGAACATGTTCCATCAAATACAATAAGAAAATTTATTTAGTTAATTTAGGTGATAATAGCTTTATTATTATTTATGGATTGTATTACCAAATTTATTTGTATACTATAAAGAAGTTGATAATAGTTTATTATCCTTACAAGGATTTGTTACTTTTATGTGTGCTGAGTTGCATTAAGAATATAATTAGTGATAAAATATATGAAATGTCCGTCTTATATATATTTTTTCTCAAAAAAGAAGTCAAATGTTAAAAATATGATTTATTATTTTTATTATTTATTAACATTTAAATATACATGCAATGTCACTAATCAAAGCAATTGAACTTATTTGAGGGAATGTAAAATTTCTCTAAAGATCAACAAACTTAAAATTATCATGAGGTACTATGATTATTTACTTATCTTTCATTTCATATAGAGCATGTATTTTGATCTTTATCTTCCTCAATTTTCATTTTAAAACATTTCACCTTATACTTCACATTTTTTTTAAGACTACCATTAAATTGTATTAGTTATTAAGATGATGATAATGATGAAGTTAAAAATAAAAATAAAGTTTAAATGATTTTTTAGTCCCTATATCTAAAATAAATTTGTAATTTAGTCTTTATATATGAAAAATTTATAAATAAGTCCATGTACATAAATTGAGTCTCAATGTAGTCTCTACTATTACTTTTAATCTTAACGTTGTTTAATAAATTTGCAACCTGACCAACGGATCCAATGTAGTTTATATATAAATTTTGAAGTGTCCATTCATCACCTTCCATTCTCCATTCTCCATCTCCTTTCATTATAGTATACTATGAATTATGTTATTTTGATATTATGCAATTATGCTATTTTGCAATTTTTCATCTTTGCAATTCTACTCTTTTCCTACTATACTTTGAAGTATGCTATAATTAAAATTTTGTTATTATGCTGAATATAATATATTTTATTGTATGTAAGCATGCCGTTGCAGCAGTATATGCAAAATCTATAGCAGAATAAGATGGAAAAATCATAGTAAAACAAAATGAAAGCACTAATGTGACAACTTACTCTAAAATTTGGGCATCTACGAAATATTCTCATGGATTTTGAAGAGTCCAAAATGTGTAAATTTTCACTTGACACCTACAATCACAGAATGACACTTTATTCTTTCTTCTTGAAGTAGAAATGCTTGTTGTAGTAGTCCCCATTTTTTATACTATTGTATGTGGAAGAAGAAAAGTTGGCATAGGAGGCACAATGTATACAATTTAATTTAAGATTTCTTTATTAACATGTTGTTTTGGCTATTAAGTTGCTTACATGTTGCATCTCTTATACATATTGGCAATTTTTATAAATGACATTATGATAAAAAATAATGACAAATACTGAATTGAGACTAAATTTATATATAAAAACTTATTTATAAATTTTTTATATATAAAGACTAAATAACAAATTCGTGTTAGTTATAAAGATCAAAAAATCATTTAAACTTAAAAATAATAAAATTGATATTAAAAAGAGAGTTTTAGCCTCAACTTTAACATCATCCATTCTCAAACCAACATCACCAGTACTACAAATATGAATTGGACTTAAAATTAGAAGTGGATATATATATTAAATGATAGAATAAAGAAGAATTTAACCAGTGAGAACAAGAAGGAGACGTCATTATAAAACTTAAACATTGTTATGTATTTTTATAATATGAACAAACTATTCTTAAGCTCAACCAAACCATAGACCCTAACACAAAGTGTTCCCAAGTAGACACCCAAACATGGCTTAGCACAGCTCTCACTAACCTTGAGACATGCAAAGCTGGGTTCTACGAACTTGGGGTTCAAGACTATGTGTTGCCTTTAATGTCCAACAACGTTACCAAGTTGCTAAGCAACACCTTGGCTCTTAACAAGGTTCAATACGAAGAACCAAGTTACAAAGATGGTTTCCCAACATGGGTGAAGCCAGGGGATAGAAAGCTGTTGCAAGCTGCTTCTCCAGCTTCTAAAGCAAACGTAGTTGGGGCAAAAGATGGTTCTGGAAAGTACACCACTGTCAGTGCAGCCGTGAATGCTGCTCCAAAGAGTAGTAGTGGAAGGTATGTGATATACGTGAAGGCAGGGATATACAATGAACAAGTTGAATAAAGGCAAATAATATCATGTTGGTTGGTGATGGTATGGGCAAAACCATCATCACAGGTAGCAAAAGTGTTGGAGTAGGCACCACAACCTTCCGTTCAGCCACTGTTGGTAAGCCAAAAGATAATCATAATATTCATCTTCTTTTTCAACCATGTAATTGCTAAAATAATAAACAGATTTGTTAACCTATTTTTTAAGTCACAAAAGCAACCAATAATAATAATAATAGAAATATTTACTATGTTAGATATACAAAATTATGATCAATACATTCTTATAATAAAATCATATTGTTATTAGTTATTTGAACTCGATTAAAAAAATTGAAAAATAAATTATGAGAAATATTGAATTATTCAAAGATCAAGACTTAACTAGTATACATGAATTGTCGCAGCTGTTGTTGGAGATGGATTCATTGCTCAAGATATCACGTTTAGGAACACTGCAGGTGCAGCAAACCACCAAGCTGTTGCATTGCGTTCTGGTTCAGACTTATCAGTATTTTACAGATGTAGCATTGAAGGTTATCAAGACACATTGTATGTGCACTCTGAGAGGCAATTCTATAGGGAATGTGACATTTATGGCACTGTTGACTTTATCTTTGGTAATGCTTCTGTTGTGTTCCAAAACTGTAACCTTTTTGCAAGAAACCCTCCAAACAAAATAAACACAATCACTGCCCAAGGAAGAACCGATCCAAACTAAAACACAGGTATTTCCATTCACAATTCAAAGGTCACTGCTGCCTCAAACTTGAAACCAGTTCAAAGCTCGGTTAAGACATGCCTTGGAAGGCCATGGCAACAATATTCAAGAACAATTTTATGAAGACTTATTTTGATAGTTTGATCAATCCAATGGGTTGGTTAGAATGGAGTGGTAACTTTGCTTTAAGTACTTTGTACTACGAAGAATACATGAACACAGGACCAGGTGCTTCAAACGCAAACCGATTTAAATGGTCGGGTTATCATGTCATTATTAGTGCTTCTAAAGCTTCAAAATTCACTGTTGGAAATTTCGTTGCTGGCAACTCATGGTTACCTTCCACAAGTGTTCCTTTCACCTCTGGTCTTTAAATTTTATCATTTGTTAGTAGATTTATTGATTTGTTATTCTTTTATTTTCGCCCCTTCAACATATAAGTTTGAATGATGTTTTATCAAATACAAGAAGAAAATTTACTTAGCTAGTGGTGATAATAGCTTTATTATTCTTTATAAATTGTTTAACCAAATTCATTTGTATAATGTGAAAAAGTTGATAATAGTTTGTACTTTTGTTAAACTGGATTTCTTGATTTTACATGATTCTTGTTTTTAGTTATGTTTCAAGCATGTTTTTTTATTGAATCAAAATAATTACCATTACTAAAATTTATGTACCAAGATAAATTGTCTTGTTATCGTGTCAGGATTTGTTACTGTTATATGTGCTGAATTATATTAAGAATATAATTAGTGATAAAATATACGAAACATCCGTCTTATATGTTTTTTCTTAAAAAAAGTTTAATGTTAAAAATATGATTTATTATTTTTATTATTTATTAACATGTAAACATACATGCATGGTCACTAATCAAAGCAATTGAACTTATCTGGGAGAATGTAAAATTTCTCTAAAAATTAACAAACTTAAGATATTATCACAAGGTGCTTTGATTATTTACTTATCTTTCACTTCATATGGAGTATAAATAAATGTATTTTCATCTTTATCTCCTTCAAGTTTTATTTTAAAACACTTAATTTTATACTTCACATGTTTTTAGAACTACCATTAATTAATTTATACCAGTAATTAAGATGATGATAATACCCATAACATCTTGATCATTTATAAATTTTAAGTTTAATTCAACAACGTTTAGATAGACTACAAAATTTAGTGCTTCTACATTTTTTTTGTATTTTATTTTTTAGAAATATTAGCTACATATTATTTAATATTATTTTAAATACATACTTTATTATCAACTAAATTTATTAAAAAATATAAAATTATATGATTTTACACGTAATTTAATAAATTTTATTCATAATTTTATAATTTTTAAGTTTCATCCTCAACCTTTATTTATTTCTAGTGTAAGTTTAATTAAGTGAATTTATTTAAAACTAAATTATAAGGTTTGCAAATTAATATGTAAATTATACATAAAAATAAAGGCAGAAAAACTTAATTTCTGTGAAATTTCTCATTGTCATTATTGTCAAAGTTGTTTATTTGACATTTTGAAAACTCTCAAACCAGCAACACATCATGTGTGAGTTGACCGCCAAATGCTTTACAACTCATTGATCTCTGTACGTGGTCATTTGTTCTTCTTTAAGAGTGTTGTTTCTTAATGACACTTATCTTTATTAGAAAAAACATTATCGCATATGCTAATTCGAAAAGTTATAATAGTGAATTCTTTTGAAATATTTTCTAGTAAATCACAATATGTACATTATTATTCATAGCTATATATACTTGTTTCACATGCAAGTCTTTTTCAGTAATTAGCGTACTTGCATTAATTTGCAGATGATTTTTTTTTGTTTGGAAAATAATAGGGTCACGTGAGGAAATGAAAATTTTAATTTCCCAACGTAAATAATTTCTTGAACCTATGTGCCATTCCATATTCCAAACTATTAGCCAATCCACGTAACAAAACGAATAAGCATGACGCGTTTCATTTCGCCACTAAAGTATTGCCACATGTCAAGTCAACGATGCTACGCAGGTTGAAAGTCAAAAGACATGCACAAGTCATATTGCAACCAATCATTTTTTCTAACAACTTCCACGTTGATTGGTAATAAAAGCTAAGGTTTGTAGAAATTAAATTATTTTATAGAATAAATATATGGTGAATTAATAAAATTAAGATATTATATAAATTGCTTATTTAATTTCTTATCAACAAATTATGTACCCATAGAATAATTTAGATAAACACAAAACTAAAAGCGAAATTAAAGAATATGCATGGCCATGCAGAAGCAAAAAGCGACAAGCAATTAGAAAAGTAAAAGTCAGAAATCAAAGTTGAGCCTCGGAAAAGTAGAGTGTGTTGTGTGCTCCGCCGACAATATATTATAACGATCATGTCTTGCCATTCTCTATAAATAGGCACCAAATTAAGACATGAAACACCATTCATCAACAAGCAACTCATTCAAACCATTTTCTCTTTGATTTACTCCATTTTCTGTTAACGCAAATTATCCATAGCTCGAAGAAATCAAACTATGGAAACTTTCCGCTTATTCGCAACCCTTTTATTTGTTCCCTTGCTGTCTTCCTCTTTAGTTTATGGTTATTCTTCGAATGACATCAAACTTTGGTGCAACCAAACTCCAAACCCTCAACCGTGTGAGTATTTCTTGAGCAATAATCCCACTCACCAATACACATCCATCAAACAAAAATCCGATTTCTTCAAACTTTCATTGCAACTTGCTCAAGAGAGAGCTCTCAGAGGCCATGCAAACACTCTCTCACTTGGCTCAAAATGCCGTAACCCGCGTGAAACAGCTGCTTGGGCTGATTGCGTTGAGCTTTACGAACAAACCATTAGTAAACTCAACCAAACCGTAGACCCTAACACCAAGTGTTCCCAAGTTGACATCCAAACATGGCTTAGCACAGCTCTCACTAACCTTGAGACATGCAAAGCTGGGTTCTATGACCTTGGGGTTCAAGACTATGTGCTGCCTCTCATGTCCAACAACGTTACCAAGTTGCTAAGCAACACCTTGTCTCTTAACAAGGTTCAATATCAAGAACCAAGTTACAATGGTGGCTTCCCAACATGGGTCAAACCAGGCGATAGAAAGCTGTTGCAAGCTTCTTCTTCAGCTTCTCGAGCTAATGTAGTGGTGGCCAAAGATGGGTCTGGTAAGTACACAACCGTCAGTGCAGCCGTGAATGCTGCTCCAAAGAGTAGTAGTGGAAGGTATGTGATACACGTGAAAGCTGGGGTATATAATGAACAAGTTGAGATAAAAGCTAAGAACATAATGTTGGTGGGTGATGGTATGGGAAAGACTATAATCACTGGTAGCAAGAGTGTTGGAGGAGGCACCACAACCTTTCGTTCGGCAACTGTTGGTATGTTTAGCAGTTTCATTACATTTTTATATTTGCCATTCAGTTTGAAAAAACATATTTTATATTTTTATTCTATAATTTATAAACAAGAGATACTGAAAAAGAAAATTATGCTTTAAAACACATTTTTTGGAAATAAAAAACAAATGAAATTAGTGTGATTATTTAAGATATCTACTTCTAGTAAGTCTCTCCAATAAAGACTCATCACGCGTCTTCTTTCTAAGCTTCCGTCTCTCACTCAATACAATGATTAAGTGTAATTTTCTGTATATATAAACAATAGCAATGATTTTAATGGGTTTTACTGGTGTTAACTCTAGTTATTTTTTAAAAATAACATGAAAATAAAAAAATTCTCAAACTGAATAACTTTTTTTTCCCTACATGAATTTATTATACGAAACAAAAATTGATTTACAGAAATCTAACCAAGATTAAATTCTTGCAGCTGTTGTTGGGGATGGATTTATTGCTCAAGACATCACATTTAGAAACACTGCAGGAGCCAAAAATCACCAAGCTGTTGCATTGCGTTCTGGATCAGACTTGTCCGTATTTTATAGATGCAGCTTTGAAGGATATCAAGACACACTATATGTCCACTCCGATAGACAATTCTATAGGGAATGTAACATCTATGGCACAGTTGACTTCATATTTGGTAATGCTGCTGTTGTGTTCCAAAACTGTAACATATTTGCAAGAAACCCTCCAAACAAAGTTAACACAATCACTGCCCAAGGTAGAACCGATCCAAACCAAAACACAGGTATTTCCATTCACAATTCAAAGGTCACTGCTGCTTCAGATTTGAAACCAGTCCAAAACTCTGTTAAGACTTATCTTGGAAGACCTTGGAAGCAATATTCAAGAACAGTTTTCATGAAGACTAATCTTGATAGTCTGATCAATCCAGCAGGTTGGTTAGAATGGACTGGTAACTTTGCATTAAGTACTTTGTATTATGGAGAGTATATGAACACTGGTCCTGGTGCTTCTACTTCTGGAAGAGTTAAATGGCCAGGTTATCATGTGATAACTAGAGCTTCCGAAGCCTCCAAATTCACAGTTGGAAATTTCATCGCTGGAAACTCGTGGTTACCTGCCACCAAAGTGCCTTTTACCTCTACTCTGTGATTATGTCGTGTTCATTATTTATTGATTGTTTGATTCGTTCCATTTCTTTATTTTTTTCAGTCGTTGAAATAATGTTATCCTAGGTTGCTAATGCAATAGTAAACTTAATATGTACAATTTATAAATAGTTTTGTTTTGTTGAATTTGATTTTTGTATTTATAGGATCGTAACGAGATCGATACGCATATATATTCGTCAATGTAACAAGTTATACTCAGTAGATCACCTCTCTCTATATATCTATCTATCGATATCTACCAAAAAGAATAGTTTTCAGATGTAATTAATATCTTCAAATTCATGTATGCGTGAAAGTCACACAACTCAATTCGTTTCACGTTTTACTCCTAACGGCTAACACAACCATAATTGTGAAACCCAAAGTAGATAATTCTAGTTGAAAGATTTCGTGTTTTACCCTCTCTCCCTCTCTCTTTCTATGTTGTTGTCAATATTTCATGTTTTACTCGTAAACAAATTTATGTTTAGGGTCATTGGCTTTGGACTCGTGATTTTTGACGTGTGTGAGGATATAGAATTCGACAATGGGGGCATAACCCATAAAACGTTGGGCAACTTAGTCAGTCTACCGTTCTAATATTAATCTGAGACAGATTAAAAGAAAAGCTCAACCAAAAAGAAAAGAAAAGATAGGCTTCAACAAATGAAAAACTTTGACCAAAAAGAACAAAAAATAATGAACATGACTCGGAATGAGAGCACTCGATCAAAAACATTAACATTCCATCTTAACACTCTCCTTCTTACTTTTTAAACTCAACACTTGTCCCCACATTTTGGATTTCACCAAAAAAAAATCCATTTGCATCGTCACCACCATAACCATTCCTTTCAACTTCAACAGAACTCCACATTTTCCTTCCATCTCTGGTGCTTTCAATTCAAATAATCAACAACCGTTGCTTATGATATATTTTGCTGCTATAAGGACAGTAACCGAAAGGGAAAAAGACAATATTGGCTGAAAAGCTCTGTCTTGAATGAGGGCAATCAAATGCCAACATATACACAAGGTTCCTATTGGAAAAAAAAAACAAAGAATACAAAAATAGTATAAGATAAAAAATAAACCACTATTTACAGCTCATGATAGCTAAATATATTCTAGAGTCTTCTAGAGTATTTTTAGCATTCTATAATGTAGTATTTGTTCTTAGCTGATGAATGTTGAGGCCCATCTTTAGTTTCTTTGTGTATTGACAAAGAATGGGGATCAAAGACATACAAAAATTTTTAAAGTGGAAAGTTGGGTAGTTGTGTGTTTAGTAATTCAAAGGGAGTTTGATTTTGAGTAACTAGTGAAGGGACATGGTTAATGAGATAAACCACATGTTTAACAGCATATGACCAATCATGAGTGGGAATATGTGATTGAAAAAGAAGTGTCTTTACTACATTGAGAATATATTGATGTTTACGTTCAACTCGAGTGTTTTGTTGAGGGGTGTTAACACAACTTATTTGATTTAAAATTCCTTTAGATGAGAAAAAAATTTTAATGAAAATTTTGGACCATTATCAGATTTAATACGTTTAACTTTTGTTTCAAATTGATTTTCAATTAGGGTGATGAAATTTTGAACATGAAATTGGACATTTCCTTTTGTTTTTAATAACACCACCCAAGTATATCTACTAAAATCATCAACAATGATTAAAAAATAACGATGACCATGAATTGAAGGAATGAGACCAGGAGTGGTAGTTATTATCAGTGAGTGCGGATGTTGTGACACCCAAGCGCTAGGCGTGGGCAGGGAGTGGCCGGTGCAATGTGACACAGATAAGGAGTGACTACCTGGCAAGCTTCCAGCGGTAAAGGGCATATGAATGAATCGATCTTACACTGAAATTAGAGGGATCCAGAGGCTACCAGTGAGTGCGGGTGTTGTGACAGCCAAGCGCTGGGCGAGGGCGGGGAGTGATCGCCGGTGCAATGTGGCACAGATAAGGAGTGGCTACCTGGCAAGCTTCTAGCGTTAAGGGGCACATGAATGAATCGATCTTACATCGAAATTAGAGAGATCTAGAGGCTGTGTAGGTATGAGATTATACAATTAAGGATAGCTTAAAAGAATTGATTAGAACTACCTATATTAACAAAATGCATTTACTTTTTGATGACCTGTCACTTAAGGTTAAGTGACCTTTTAGGAAGTTTTCGGGAAGTGTGTGAGTGAGGATAAAGCACATTGAAAAGTTGTGGGGACAATCGTCAGTCCTGAATAAGTTATCAGGCTATTACAATAATAGTATCAAAGCAGACTTCTCTTTGACAATGATGGAAGAAAAATTGTCACTAGCATGAATATGATAGCGACTAAACAAGTTGTGTGGGATCATAGATAAGTTCATTGTTTTGCTGATGGACCTCGAAATTTGCAAACAATATTGGCTGAAAAGCTTTGTATTGAATAAGGGCAATCAAATGTCAATATATACACAAAGTTCCCGTTGAGGAAAAAAAAACAAAAATAGTACAAGATAAAAAAGAAATCACTATTTACAGGTCATGACAGCTAAATGTATTCTAAAATCTTCTAGAGTATTCCTAACATTTTGTAATGTAACATTTGCTTTCAGCTGATAAATATTGAGGCCCATCTTCAATTTTTTTATGAGCTAAAGTGATACTATGTTCTTTTAGCTGCCATTACCATATTTTACTATACCAACACCCAATGGGTTATCGGCGCCACTCTTTAACATTATATTAATTTCTTAACCCAAATCAATGTTAACATTAAATAATTATATAGAACATTAAAAGTTAAAAATTTTAATTAGAATAATTTTGATTGACCATCTGTTTAGTTTGACGACTTATATATATTAGAGGTGCTTTTTTTTAAAAAAAATGTTATACGACATAATATCTAAACATTTGGCATGTGTTTACTAAATTATGAAACCGATTAGATTAAATTACACGCTAATAGTCAAATTTTGCTTAATTTTTCAAATAGTTAAATTAACACTACGCCAAAATGGAAGTCTGAGAGTGATTTCGTTTTAAATTATAGTGTTTAGAACTGATTTAAAATCTTGCACCATCTGATGTGTTATATTTAAGAGAACAGTTAAACAATCGATCTTAAAAGTTAAGATTGGATAGCGATTGTTGCAACCGAGCGGTCGCAACGTTACGGCGAAAAACGTTTTCAAATATATCAAAGGAATCGTCACTAAAGTTTATTTTAAGAAAACCTTGAAATTTTTTTTTTAAAATATTATGATTTTTGAAACCAAAAATGAGTTCAAGAGTCATTTACATGTGGGGAAGGTATTAGCACCTCACAACATCCGTTTAAAACGGTTACCTAAAATTAATTGTGCAAATTTATTTAAATTCTAAAAAATATTTATTTAATTCCTAAACATTAATTATTTTTATTTTACAAGAAGAAATATTATTTATTGAGATATAATTTGAGTTATTTTAAAAATTATTTTGACATGACGGGTACGGTTCCCGCTCCTACGTATCCCCAGGTGCAATGGAAAACTCAAAGTCATGTAGTTCTATCTAAAAATTATGAAATTAGTTGATTATAATTAAGTTTAGTAAAATAAAATTTATTTTAAAATTAAAATTAAAATTATTTTCGTAAAATTATAATATTTAGGATACAAGATAACGCGGTTATACATGTACCCTAGGAGAAACAATACAGAAAGTGAAGGAATATCACATAACTATACTGCAAATCGTTAAATATATTTTATTCGTAAATGAAGTATTTGAATTTTAATTTTGACTATGATTAATGGTGAAAAAGAATTTAAGATAGCGTAAGCTATACATTAATCTCTTATAATTTTTGGATAATCAAAGGCAATGTAAATTACACATCAATATTATAAAAAAAAAATTGTATAATATAATAAAAATGGAGAAATGATTTGTTATTTAACTTATCGAAATCAGAAATATGATTCAGAAAATTTTAAAGTATGAAATTAATTTCATTTAATGAAATGAATAAATATATTTGAATTGATTAAAAAAAATTTAATAATAACAATAAAAAAATTAAAACTTTGTTTGATAAATTTATGTTGTATAAAACTTAATGTAACGTTGGTACACAGATGTTCTAATAATTTATAATAAGTAAAGATAGAGCTGCTACACATTAGTATTATAAGTTATTGTGTTAATAAAATAATTTCTATTTAAATTGATTGATTAGTAAAATAATGATTATAAAGAATACATTTTGATTGATTATTAAGATAATTTTTTAATTAATTATAGACTACATATAATAAACCAATGTTGCATAAAACTTTAGTTAACATAGGTACACTCGAGCTTTATTAATTTATAACACATGACAGTAGAGAAGCTACACGTTAATGTCATAAATTAATATAAACATGTGCTATTTATTATTAATGATATAAGAGGAAGTACTTATATATATATAAACTTAAGTTACATCAACATTCTATATAATAAGTAAAACAAAAGATAATAATCTTAAATTAAAAGAAAAATAATTAATCATAATAATAAAAGTCTAAATAATCAAATAACGTGAAAATATTTTGGAAGAATTTATTATCGAATTAAATTTTACAATTAAAAGAATTCAAGTATAGTAAAATAAAAGGAAATTACATTGCGTTGCATTATATTGCATTTAACCTAATTTAAATAATTTCTCATTATTATTTCAATTATTATTATCTAAAATTAATAAAATGTAATTAAGAGAAGTTAAGTCAAAATAAAAAATAAAGATGTAAAATTAAATATTTTACTTAAGACAATAAAAGATAAATAAAATATAAAACAAGAATAAAATAACTAAACAAATTTTCGTTTACCAAACAATAAATAAATAAATAAAGTTACTAAAGAAAATAATAAAAAAAAAGAAACCACATAGATGTAACTAATGCATTGGATTGTAGATGTTGTTGGTATATTGAATTGGAACAGCACGAAGAAAAGAAAGTAACCCCTTCGATT